AATATAAAGTTATTAGGGAGGAAAACCCGTCTGGATAACAGCAGACTGACTGTTCGTAAAATATACGCCAGGTCTGGACCACTCGTGAATTTTGTTCGTATCTGAAAAAAATCTTATATGAAAACATTGGTGAATGCCACAAATTCTCCTAAATTATTCRTAYGCACAATTAAAGAACAAATCTGTGCGTACGAACGGTTCTTACATGAGGCCCAATGAGCTGAAATTTGCTGTGGTGCAAGCTGTGATCACCCACATATAGTTCAGTGAAATAAGTTAAAAATAATGGCCATGTGGCAGTACCTGTCAAAGTTTCTCCAGGAACTTTTGCTCCACATCATTTCTATTTTACAGATGGGTCCCTAGATTTTACCCAGTTTTCATTAACTGGTTCTTAAACACATAATTGTTTAATTTTAATTTATTGGTTCAGAAAAGTTATTTTTATCTTCGCATACTGAGATTCCCTCTACACCAGATAATACAGCTGCTGGAAAGAAGTGACTATATTTTATTGCCACATGGGATCCCAAGATCTTCCCTGAAAAAGAAATCTAGATGGGAGCAGATGACACTTTTCTGTATTGATGGTTCCTTGTACCCCCATAGCATCAGCGAGGCAGACTTATGAACTGAAAAAAGTCTGGATATTTCCGTCCACTGTTTTTCAAAATGAATTCTGATTTTCTTCAAGCAGTTTCTCTACACATCAGAATGTTTCTGGAGGGAAAACCCTTCAGGTGTTTGGACACTAACCCTGCTTCTAACCTCTGTCTCAGGGGGAGTACCGGCCCGACAAGCAGCTCTCCGACGAAGACCTGAAGAACGCCGTCTCCATCCATCACTCTCTGGCCATGAAGGCTTCAGATTACAGCAAAAGACCCAACGTCTTCTACCTGCGGACGGCTGACTGGAGGGTCTACCTCTTCCAGGCTCCGTGAGTCCCCCCGTTTGTCCTGTGCTCCAGGAGTTATTTTACTAACACACAAAGAAAAAATCACGACTTTCTTTAAATTCAGCTTCTCTGCAAACACTAACATCATCATCTTATAAAAACAGTTTGAGGAAAAACTTTAGGAGAAGATGTTAGAAGCAGTTTTTATGTTCAGACTGTTTAATTGGACCCTGAAGCTCTAACTGGTTTAAAGAGGAACTTTAAACCAGTTGCTAAAGAGTTTATAAACAAAAAATGTATTTTTTAAAAACTGAAGCCAGAAGAACTATTTTTTATCTGGTGACCTGTTAAACTCAGAGGCTAACGTGGAGGTGAGCCGAGCCGGATCCAGGAAGTGACACGTGATTGGCCACATGCTTCAGCCCCCAGGAGGGCAGGCTCTGTGCTCCAGTTGCAGCTTGTGTTTGTCCCAGATACCGCACACCTCCCTCTCTCTCTCTCTCTCCTCTTTGTCTCTCCATCTCCTCTCCTCCTCGCTTCCTGTGGGAGTTAAAGCGAGGCCGTTGGATTGAACCGGAGATTTGTCCCGGGTCCCCCTAAAACAGCCCCCTGTCCTCCGATGCACAGAATAACGTCAACGTTTTCTGATCATTTCCGATCGTTGTGATGTTGTAAACGGGCCGTGGTGGTTTTTGTGTCTGTGTTTGATTCTTGGACAGGAACGCTGAGCAGATGCAGTCCTGGATCACGCGCATCAACACGGTGGCGGCCCTGTTCTCGTCGCCTCCTTTCCCAGCAGGCATCGGCTCCCAGAAGAAGTTCAGCCGGCCGCTGCTGCCAGGAGCCATGTCCAAACAGTCCGAGGTACTGGTCAGGGTTATCTAGGTCAACTAAAACTAACTAATGAAAACTGAAATTAAAAACATATTTTAGTTAACTAAAATAAATAAAAACTGTAATAAAATGAAAAAACGATAACTAACTAAAACTGTATATATATATATATTTTTACAAAACTAACTAAAACTAACTGAAATAATAGAATATCCTTAGTTTTCGTGTTTGTCAGTTTATTTTGAGCCATGTGGATCTTTTTATTTATTTATTTATTTATTTCAAATTGAGAAGTTTCACATTAGCTGTGGGCTGTAACAACACTTACAATCTGCTGCTCAGCATCAGCTGCTAAATGACAACAAAAGTTGGGAGAAAGCAGCAACGTCCACTTTGAATATGACTGCGAGAAAAATAAAAGCAAGTGTTTTGTAGTGGAAACAGGTGATAAAATAGGTGGAAAACTTCTCAAGACGGCATGAATCAAGCTCACACAAGATGACTAACTATGACTATCTTGACACGCTAGCTTCTCTCAGGAGCTCCCATGAGAAACAAACAAGTAGCACCGGGTTGGAGACAACTGTTGTCATCGTCCTAAAATAATCGGCCAAGTTTTTAGTTGATAAAATTGAGTTACACAATTATTTTAGGAAGGTGTTGCTATAATGGAGGCTCTAACTAGTGACTAAATAGCTGCTGGTTAATTAACTCCCAGGAACATCACAAGCTGGAGGATGCATTGGCAAATATGTTTATTCAAACTATAAAAAAAAACTAATATTARAACTAATAAAAACTAAACTAAACTGAAACTAAGCATTAACAATGCAATAATAACTAATAAAATCTAGCAAATACACTGTAAAAACTAATTGTGTGTTTTGTTGTAATCTTGTTTGTTGTAATTTTGTGTGTTGAATTACTTTTATCGTATGCTGACGGTGAACTTTAGAGTTGGTGATTGATTTTATTTTGCAAGTAGGGGCAGATATTATAAGTTTATACTTCTTTCTGCTCCTTTTCATTCATGACTTCTTTATAACTTAGTTTTGCTTTCCTTGACACTTTGATTTTGTGTGCATCATTGTTTATTTTATTTTTCGTTTCTTTTTTATATATATATATTTTTTTTACTGGACGGCTTGTTTTTTTCTGTTTTTTTCTATTGTTTAATAGATCTTTAGTTTTATTATTGGATTTTTTAGTATTGGATGACTTGCTGTTTTGTACTCATATTTCAATTCATGATTGAAATAAATAAAYTTCAAACTTCAATTAAAACAAACTGAATTAAAAGAAAAAAAAAGTCACAATGAAATAAAACTAAACTAAAATGAAAAATCCAAAACTACTGGTCCTGTTCTGGGATGGGGGGTGTTGTTGGGTCTTTGTTGAACCTTGCAGCACAGATGCACAAAAAAAAACAGCATTTTTTTTTCTAAGGAGTGCAGGAACTCAGAGTCAGACAAAGCCTCATCTGTTACAAAGTTTCAATGTTCTGTTTTTCTGTAGCGTCATAAAAAACATGTTTACAATCCAGCTAAAACACTTTATTTTGTTTTTATTCTGTCAGGAGGAGCAGATCAGATCCCACGAAGCCCGGTTCAGAGCCATCTCCACGGAGCTCTCTGAGCTGCGCTCTTATCCCCCCGATCGCAAAGTCAAAGGCCGTGAGCTGGAGGAGTACCGCCAGCGAGACGAGTACCTGGACTTTGAGGTAAGCTGGACCGATAGCTCTTAAAGTGTCTGTGACGTGCATATTCTTCAAATACAAAAAGTCAAAGAAAACATTTTTATATTTAAGAAAGTTGGAACAATACACATGATTTAACCCATTTTGTCCCATAACTGGCATATTTTTTTAAATAAATTTATTTATTTTCAGTTTAAAACACAACAAACCTCAAAACAACAAAAAACATTTACAAAGAAAATGAAAGGTGGCAGAAAGAAGAAAAAAATCTTATAATATCTGCCCATTTTSAAACGAGGACAAAATGAAATATATATGAATAAAAATACCATAAAACACTAATAATCATTAAATAAAAGAACAGATAAAATAGAAGAACATTTTCTTTTGAACGTGGCTCAGCCAAAGTGAAACAGGAAGTGACATCAAAGGGGAACTCTTTAAGAAAGAAAACTCTGGTCTTTGTTTATTAAAACAATATTATTTGAACTCTGACTCTTCATCTCTCTGATAGTGACTTAAAATAATCTAAAGAAACAGAGTCTTCTCTACAGTCTGTGTTGTTGGCTGTTGTAGCAACACTCTGTTTACATGCAGACATTCCCCTTTGACATCACTTCCTGTTACTTCACAGGCAAAAATCTCAACAACTGTTCATCTCAGCGACATGAAATTTCTTTTGCAATATTTTATCAATGTCCTCTTTCTAAAAATGCCTTCATATTTATTACAAAAATTTGACGTCACAGGCACTTTAAAGGAATAATGTGTTTTTGTTTGAAGCGGGTCTAAGCTAACAGCTTGTCACAAACTAACTTCTGTTTTTGTGCGGCTCCAAAGAAAACGCGGTACGGGACGTACGTCATGCTGCTGCGGGCGAAGATCCGGAGCGGCGAGGAGGACTTGTCGGTGTTTGAGTCCCTGCTGCTGGAGGACAGCAGCCTGCAGAGGGCCCACTCCAGCCCCACGCTGCAGGACAGCAGCCTGGCCAGCCAGGCCAGCAGCACCAGAGACGGTGGCAACAGCAGCAGAGCCAGCGCCTGCAGCGGCGGCGGCGGCAGCAGCAGCAAACCTCGACAGGAAGGCCAGAGGCACAGCTACCGACAGGCCGTCAAGAAGTGAGGCGCGGCGAGGAACGGGGCGCCAGGAGCGGCGGGGTGCTGCGCTGCCAGCGGCCGCCCGTCTCCCTGCGGCGGTTTTTATTTCTGATTCAGCTCTGCTTGAGAGGGGAGCAGGAGTGAGGGTCCAACCCCACGACCTCGCCCCCCAACCGTGACGCCCACACGGCACCCCGATCCTCTCATCCAGGCGAGGAGGTGCAGATCCAGCTAGGATGTTGGTGCAGGAGGTGGGGAGGACAGCTGTGAGGTCAGAGATCTGCAACCAGGAGGTGGTTTTGAGAACAAACAGGAGCAGCAGACCTGAGGCGAGGGGGCGGCTGCTAACGGATCAAACAACTCCACACATCCAGCATCCTTTTAGTTTCTCCCCTTTTGTTCTTTCAGGGCACCTTTTCTCTTGATCTTTCTCTCTGTTTGGGACCAAACATGTTTACACACTTGAACAACGTATTATTTGAGCAGAAATGATGTGAAGCGCTGTAAAAAAACAAACTTAAAACATCAGATTTTTTTGGGGAGCAGGTTGATTCCAACTCCTCCCATTGTTCCTGTCACATCACCGCGATGTGTTCACATTCCACACACGAGCTGGAAACGACAGCTTTTAGCTGCTGTGAGTTCCGGTGAAACCAGCATGAAGCTGAAACGTTGTTTCTGCAGGATAACGAGGCTCCTTCTTTCTCTGAACATTTAAAACTGCATCTGACAGAGAGAGGTTTCCTGTTTTCTCCTCTACTTGAACGTATCTTTTTTCCCGGTTTGCTTCCGTCCCGTGACGCGCTTCGGTTCTCTTTTTCTGGGCTGAATGTTGTTTTCTCTGCATGCCTGCATCCAGCACTGCTTCTTTTAGGGCTTTTTACTACTTTGAGGTTAAAATCTGAGAAGTTTAGTTTTCTGGGGCTTTTAAATCAACACCCAACGTTTGTAAAATTTTGTCTGTGCCGCTCATCTGCACACGCTCAGCAGGCAGAACCTGAATGTGGATATKTTTAAACATTTTACTGTCATCCGTTGAGCTTGAATCCCCTCCTTCTGTGTTTGTCGACTCTGTGATCAGATGTTAAACATATCCAACCCAAATTCTAAAAAATGTAAACGCAAACAGAATACAGTCATTTGAAATCTCATAAACCTGTATTTTTTTTACAATAGAACTAAGTAATTGTGTCATTTTTAGAAAAACATTTTGTAATTTTATTTTTAATGGCAGCAAAACATCTTTAAAGAAGACATAGCCTGTTTTTAAATGCTTCTTTTTCATATTAAGATTCTTCATTTGGGATGTATAAAGTGGAACTGGTCTAAATTCTTCCTTATTGTAACTCCACAAGCCCCGCCCCTTTTCTGGGGTGTGCCTCAGATCAGCTCCTTTTGAGGCTGTCTCTTTTAATCCAAACGAGGCGCTTCACACTCCACCCCACTCCACCCAGTTCCACAGCAAATACTGACGTTTTTGTTTAGAAAAACCTAACAGAAAATAGAAAAACTGAACGGACTGAAAAAATTACCTAAACACAAAATAAAGTTATCTGTGCGGCACAGAGAGAGACTAAATTAAACTCTACTGAAAAAGGATTTTTACTTAATGTGTCCGCTTTAAAAAAGTTATTCCAGGAGAAACAAAACGCTTTAAAAGTCAGTGGTTCAAATAAGAAGCAGCTTTTTATAAGTAGTTAGGTTAATTATCAACAAGTCAAAACCTAAACGCAAAATCGAACTAATAAAAATCCACAGTGTTTGATTTTTGCTGTTGTTTTAATATGTACAGATACCGGAAATGACGGAAGTCGTCAAAGAATAAGACTTTATAGTGGCTGGAAGAAAACATAAACTATTCCTAAAGATATTGGCTGCACTCGAACCTTATTCTGCATAACTTGGAACATTAAATCAATTTTATTTGAGGTCCTCAAAAAAAAGACGTGTTTGTTTCTAAAGCGCTCAGTGAAAATGTTACGCCCCAGGAGTTCAGGCCATGATGATGAACAAAACATAAAGCTTGTCTTTGCTTAAATCATTAAAACAAAAAATATATATTTTGCTTTTTTTGTCCAGTTTTGCTATTGTCGTTTTTTAAATTTAGTAAAAAAAAAAAAAAATAGAAAAGAAAAACCACCAGATTATTAATTTTATCTCTTTTTATTTTGAAAATAAAAAAACCAAAGCGAATCATACGTGGATTGCAGAGGTTCACTCATCTATGAACAGAAGTTTACTGTTAGAAAYACGAACCTGAACACGTTTAAGATGTTTTGCTACCATAAAATTCTTAATGACCTCATTTTTTCCTAAAAATGTTACGATTTCTAAGTTTTCTATGTTTCTATTGTAAATTAAATCTGGGTTTCTAAGATTTGTAAATCATTGCTTTCTGTTTTTACACATTTTTAGAACTGGGGTTGTAAAAGGAACTATATTTAAAAACATTGTACAGTATTTAAATCATCACCTGCTTATATTGTAGGATATATGACCATATATTTGCAATATATTCAGCACACTTTAGGAAGAAACAGATTTATTCTTCTTAGTCCCAAAAGCGCTAAATGATATTCACGTGTTTTCTTCAAATTATTTTTACAAACTCTACGAAAATTAGTCTAAAGATTAGTAATAGTGTTTGTTTTAGAGGAAAGTGCTTCGATGCCAAAACCTAACAGCATGATTTGAGTCGGATCAGGGCTGACGATGTTCTGAAAGATGCATGAAGATCAGAAAGTCTGTACCAGCGGACCGCTCCACGTATCGTTAGGTCGCCACAGACGCCTCATCGCATTATTTTTAATGCACAGCCATTTTCTACTCAGGCTTTTACACTTTGAGCAGCTGCAGCGGCAGCGTTCGACCAGCAGGGGGTACTGTCAGCGCTCACTTCCTCTTTCAGCCATAATCCCACCTGCTGCACCTGCAGTGAATATGCACGACCCCTCCCACCCACCTGAGGCGGAGGAGGAGGGGCATCGCAGGGCTAACATTGTTCATCCAACCCTCATCCAGCCTTCGTCCATCCGAACGTCAGCTCCAAAATGAGTTTGTACAGTTTCTGAAACAAATCGTTTTAATGTCCTGATGCATCTCAGTAATCCAAAATTGTTTTAATATTCAGTCGCTGGAGCGTGTTGCTGTTACAGAGCGAGGTTTCATGTCTCCTCTTTGTCTCATATGACCAAAAAAAAAAACGGTTCTTTTGTTTTACAGCAGCTTGTCAGACAAGAGGAGGGAGGTCTAATTCTCGTTTTATCGACCAAACCCTTAATCAGTCGACAGACACGACTGAAAAAGAGGTCGTGAATAATGACTACTTGTAGCCGAACGACGTTTTATTTTTATCTGCACTCCTCTTCTCTCCTTTCAGGCGCTCGCTCAGATGGTTTCAGCTTTTTGTCGCAAAATCTGTAGCGTTAAACAAACGTGTAATCTGACACTGCAGTTGTGTTTTTACTGTGATATCAGCCAAACTGTTGAACTGAAACCAAATTTAGATAAATACAAAATGCCAGTATGACTAAACTACAACCTTCGCAAGCAGCTGCAGCTTTTTAGGGTTTTAAAGCACAGGAAGTTAGGAAAGTAAATGACATTTAAAAATCATCTGCTTTCTCAAAATTAAAGAGTAAACATTTAAAATAAGTTGAGCCGTTTTAATAAAATCTGTTGGAGATGACTCTCAGCTACTACCACACCAAATTTTAGTTCAGTAACTTTAAAATCAGTTGGTTTGAAGCTATTTTTGTTTAAGCTAAGGTTGATTAGCTGAGCAGCTATCTTTATCTCCGAGGCTGTGTTTGAACTGTTCACTATAAAGTGCACTACGCCACGTTTTTTTAGTGATGTTTCAAATTTTAATTACTTAATTCATTAAAAAGTTCCCAAAACATTGGTCATATTGTTTCAGTAAAAGTTGTGTACAGAATTTGTACACAAACGTTGGACGTAGACCTAAATGCAGGCTAATGCTAATATGGCTAATGCTAACATTTCCTGAATTGCTAAGAAATTGCAATCTGTAAATCTGGTTCACACTAGATACTTTTTCTGTCAATTAACGTTTCATCCACTTAAAATATGAAAGATTAACAATAAATAAATAAGAATTCCTGAGAAATTTTGAGTTTTGTGCATAACATTCCTAACATTTTCTGCATTAGCTGCAAAAACCTGAGCTGAAAGGCAGACGAATTAGATAATTGTGAACTGATCCTTTATTTTAAGGCCAGGTTTTAACCATTATAATCTAAGTTTTTAATTGTTTGCACACTCTAAAATCAGTTGCCCTGTACAGAAACCTTTTGTAAGTTATTTTAATTTATAATTTCAGTTTTACTGGAGGATTTAGTTGAGTTGCAGCTGGGGTCCAAAACGTGTAACAATCGAGTGGAAATACACTTTATGTCAGCAGATGATGTTTTTGAACATTTGCTCAACCAAAACCAGCAAAATTTAGTTTCCTTTCACTTCACGTTCAGATGTTTTTCCAACTTTTTTGTGTTTATTTATTCAACAGCTGACTGAAAACGCTCATCAGGAAGCACGCTGCTTTCAAGTGCTGTTGGAAATACCAAAACTCTGCGCTGTACTTTTTATAGTTGAATATAACGTGACCACGATGTGAACATTTCAAACACAGCCTGATTGTTAAAATAGAGATATTTTGCTGAATATTAGCCGCTCTGTGTTCACAGCTTCACCAAACACAGATCAGATTAAATTACTGATTTGTTTGGTTTTGAAATCACTTCACAGAAACTGAATTACAACGTTGGTGTTTTTTTGTGGATACTTTGGAAGCGAGGCCATCGTCAGTATTCCAGATTGTGTCGTCGTCGCTCGCCTTCATCAGCACGCAGCTGCTGGGTGTCCCGGTTAGCATGGAAACGGTTCTGGTTCCCCCGGCGACGGCTCGGCTCGCAAATCTGAGTCTTTGAAACGGTTTCCATCGTACTCATCTCTGAATGTAAATAAAGCATGAGATGTTCCTGCTCTGGAAGGGTTTGTGACTCCGATGTCCTCTCCTGGAGCTCATGTTGTTGTTGTTATTTTATTTATTTGTTTTATCAGTGTGACTGAATGGTTCTCGTTAACGCTGCGGTGTTTCCAGCTCAGAACAATCTTTTTACACGTGCAGGCGGCGGCCATGACGGGAGCTTCATGTGTCACTGCCTCCTTCAATCTCAGCAAGGACATGTTGTTTGTGAGCTTCTTGTTTTCAGGAGGGATTGTGGAGGATCAAAATAAAATGTTTTGAAGGGTTTGACGTGTCTCAGACTTGTTGTCTGGATCTTTCTGTTTTATTTATTCACGATCAATACATGCAAACATTTAATCACTTTAGAAATTGTGTCCACACACAAGTGTTTTGCCTTTTGTCTCAGTATAAATACTGGAAGTCAATAATTCTGAAAACTGGGAACATGTGTGGTCTCCTGAGGAACTGCAGCCCTGAGGGGCCAGATTCCCATTCTGACCTAAATCTGATCATCCAGCTCAGTTGTGTGCATTAAATTAAAATAAACATCATCTGTGAGCAGCTGAGGAACGGGAATGATTCAGTTTACTCACGCAGGAATTAGCCATAGCCCACTGACTAATTCACATTTATTTGTGCAGCAGAACAAAACGCTTCATGCACAATCCAAATCATGAGATACTAAGTGCATCAGGACGATCCAAATCATGGCCGCAAGAGTGGCTACGGACCGGTCCTTATGCAGCTAGAGCTCATGTTTCAGTCGTTTGATTCCTTTTTCCCAAAATTAAAGTCTAAACAAATTTAGAGTTGATCAGATGTGGTGTATCTTAATAAAACTATGGATACAGTAAAAAAAAAAAGTCATGTAAATCTAACCTTCCACTTTGACGACCAAAACTACCTAAAAGCTAGAATGATCAGGAGTGTAATTGTCAAAATTAAAGCTAAAACTAAAAGTGAGAAGAACAAAAGGTAAAGGAAGAAAAATGTTAGCTGCTGACTAAAGTAGCAAAATGTGGCTAATAGTTTAAAATAGCCAAAAGTAGCTATCAATTAAAATGAGTTAAATGAATGATAAAAGCTTAAAAAGTAGCTAAAATAGCTAATGAAGGCTGTTAGAATGGCCTTTAGTGGCTGAGACCTGAGGCAGAGAAACAGGTGCAGACCCACAAATATCCAAACATCAGCATTTTAAGTGTACCAGAATAAGTAAGGAAAACATTACAAAGGCTAAAAGTGGCTAAATTGAAGTTAAGAGCAATGACTAGAATTATAATATAGTTAAATTAAAAATACAAAACATTTGAGATATCAAGCATCAACTAGAGCTAGCAAATGGCATAATTAAAAGCTACCATACATAAATAAGCATATTTGCCCAAAAGGTTTTTATAATTATGCATATCATCAATAAGATTTTAAATGGCATTTCCTGTGAAAATGCTAGTGTGAATATTTCTTGCTGAAAAATTAAGCTGAGGTGCTGAAATTGAGCTGAAAACATTTTATAGCAAAAGTGGTAATTTGAGTTTAATTTGAAAAGCTGAAAAAAGCTTAACTTTGCAGAAAAACTGAAGAAAAGCAGAAATTTGTCTGAAATAGCACAAAAAAAGCTAAAATGGCTGAATATAGCAGAAAGCATCTGTAAGAAGCATAAATAGCACAAAGTAGCAGAAAGAACCAGAATTTTAGCTGAAATAGCAAAAAAAGCTAAATTTTGTAAAAAAAAAAAAAAATGAAAAAATTAGCTAAGATTCGCACAAGAAAGTTAAAAGAGCACAACCAGAACAAAATGTATAAGGTGCTGTAAGTTTTAGATAATTTTTGATGGATTTTAAGAATGCTGAAAACAGCTTCATTCATTTTCAGTGGCAAAAAAGTGAAATAGCAAAAAAAAAAAAAAAAAGCTTGAATAGATATCAAAAGTCATAGTACCCCTGACAAAATGAGCTGAACGTTTTGAAATTTGTGGAATGAGTTATATGTCAAATAACGTACAGAAAGTAACAATAAACTATAATAATAAAGAGAGACATGGATGCTAGTGTGATGTGAGTTTTCGTTGATAAATTAGAGCTTTTTGAACAAACTAATTGTAGTGTTTTTGAACACAGCCCAAATGTCCGCACCATTTGTACGCTGGCGTACGAAGCAGCGCACCGTGTGGGCGGAGTCTGGGCTTATTTTTAGGTAACGCCCCGCTCCCTTTTCCCGGATCACGGGCCGTTGCATCGGTAACGAGCAAAGCCAGTCGCAAAGCTACACAGCCGGGTTTCTTGGTGACGTACGTGTGGGAAAGTACACACAGCAGCAGCGTCGCGGTGCTGCAGCGACCAGAAAACAAGAACACACACTTCTGCCCCGAACGGCTCATGACACTCTCATAAAAACCCGAAGTAAGTCTCGAACCGGTGTTTACCAGCAGTCTATCCGGACAACATTTATCGATACGGCTATTATTAGCTTTCACTGGCTAACGCTAGCTTAAAAGGCTCCGGCTATTTCCTAGCTAGTGTACGGATGCTGTGGGTTGGCTAACTAGCTTCTCGCAGCGAATATAGTCAGTCGAAAGTCGCTTTGGGTGTTTTATACTGATTTTAAATTAAAAGCGTAACATACTAAATGGTATTTTCCCCACAATGCCACAATTCTGTCTCGTCATTTTTGTGCTAACGTAACAGAAAGCGTCCCAGAATGTAGGTTAGCCCTGCCCTTGATAGCTTGTTTAGCTAGTCGTTTGAAATTGAAAGAGTTCTGTCACTTTTACCTCAAAGCGTTTTTCTTTTTTCTTTTTTTTTTCTTTTTTGTCTTGTGTCCACATTCCTTTTGTTGTTCCAGCCTGCGGCTACAATAATGGAGAAGCCTCCGTTCAAGCAGAACCAGAACTGCGGGGACTGGGAGCTGAAGGAGAGGCTGGGAATGGGAGGCTTCGCTCATGTTTACCTCTACCAGCACCGAGTGAGTCCTTCAGCCCTCTGACATCTCATCTGTGTGCTGTTTAAACTGGTACCAATTACAAAAAACAACAGTTTATTAAATTAATGTTATAATTTGAAAAGAACGAGCAGTGCAGAGGGGTGGAAATTCATCGTGAAGATAAAAATAACAGTTTTAGGTAAACTAAAAAGTATAATTTCATTGGAGGCCCATTTTACAAGCTATACACATTACTGGAATATGTTATTGATTCAGTAGTGTTTGCATCCCTTTAATGTAGCACATGAAAATAATTTACTCTGTAAATTGGGTAACTTTGTTTAAGACGGGAGAAAAACATTAACAAAACTATTGTTTTTTGTGTTTGTATAGTATTAAAATCCATTCACTGTCTTCAAATATTAGTGTATTTCTTAAGCCAGGTGTTTCAAAATATCTGTTGCTTTGAGACATTGGTACAAAAAACTTCAGTGTCGAAGGAAACAAGAACCCGTCTGTCTTCTCTGTCCATAATACAAGCATGTTAGTCCTCAGCAAAGAGCCCTTTATTTATATTTATTTAGTCAAGTGTCATCTCAGAGGTTTGAACATTCCTGTTGGTTGGTTTCCTGCTTCTGTCTCCTTCCATGTGCACCAAACAGTCYAAAAAAAGGCAGCTAAACAAAGAATTCATAATAAATTTGCCACAAAATACAACACAGCCTTAAAGATGTCTGTTTTTATAAATAAAATGATTTCTGCGCAACAGTTTCAAAATTTGTTTACTTATTTCTAGATTTGTTCATTTATTTATTTAAACGTTATAAATCTATATACAACCATTTGTTTACCCTAACATTTCTGAATTTCTGAAGAATATATTTCTCATATCTTCCATATTATTATTTTAATTTATCATATTCAAAGATGAGTATCTTATTTTACTTTCTTCTTTTTTTTTGTGCTGTGACTAATAAAATATTTTTTTATTTTTAAGGGAACTCACGAGAAACTTGCAGTGAAAATGTGCCGCCTGGAGCTCACTCCAAGAAATAAGGACAGATGGAGCAAAGAAATACAGATCATGAAAAAGTTAGTACCTAAAGTAGTAATATATATTTTTTTATTTATGTATTTGATGTTAATTGTTGTATATATGTATCATCTATGATACAAAACAACTGGATTATACAGTATTCATTAATTGACGTAGAATTTCTGTTTAAAAGTATTCGAACTTGAATCAAAACCATTGAAACATTTTAACATCTGTTATGACTTGAAATTATTGCGTCTTTGTTTATTTAAGCTTTGATTTCAGAACCCAGAGATGTGTTGATGAAGATGTTTTGTTATAGATGACAAAATAACGCAGTGATGTCATCGCGACTTGCTATCCTTCCCCTCAGATTGGATCATATTAAYGTTGTGACGGCTCAAGACGTCCCAGATGAAATCAAACACATCGCCTTGAACGATCTTCCACTCTTGGCCATGGAGTACTGCTCCAGAGGGGACCTGAGAAATGTGAGAAACTCTCTGACTTTTCTTTAAGTTAAAGTCCAGCCTGAAGGTTTGGCTTGATGCTCCGGGAAATTATTCACAAAAGTCTCAAAATTATAGAATTTATCAGAACTTTGACATTTCTGTTTTAAGTTTCCTTTAAGAGCATTATAAAAATGTGTCACTTTAAGAAAGTGTTCTTTTTTTTTTTTTGTTCCTGTGTAAAAGATTGTTTTTGTAACAAACWGCATGTTTTAAAATGATTTTTATTGTTGCAGGTGCTGAGCAGACCTGAAAACTGCTGCGGTCTGAAGGAGAGCGAAGTTCTTCTTTTACTCAACGATGTTGGTACGTTTTGCCTTTTATTCCCTTTTCATTATTTTCAGTCAGATCTGACCTTTTAGAGGTTTTTTTTAATCCCCACCGTCTGATCCAGGATCTGGTATCCAGTATCTGCATGAAAACAAGATCATTCACAGAGACCTAAAACCTGAAAACATTGTGCTCCAGGACTACAACGGAAAGGTAAACAGCTGTGTTCCTCTCTGCTGTTTGACTTCATGTCTCTGAAACTAAACCAGTTTAATTTACTCCTCCRTCTACAGCTGGTTCACAAGATCATCGACTTGGGTTACGCCAAAGACCTGGACCAGGGGAGTCTGTGTACGTCCTTCGTCGGAACACTTCAGTACCTGGTAAACACCTCGTCTAACTAATATTTAATAGTCATATAAATTTATTTAATGTAGCTAATGTGTTACAACAATGGCTTCTCTTGTCTCTGCAGGCGCCTGAGCTGTTTGAGAACAAGGCGTACAGTGTTACCGTCGACTACTGGAGCTTCGGCACCATGATCTTTGAGTGCAGCTGTGGTTTCCGTCCCTTCCTGCACAACCTGCAGCCTGTTCAGTGGTGAGATGTCCCCACGGTTTATGCGGGAGTGATTAGTTATACTAGTTATACCAGACAGACAAGCTGGATGACAAGACCAAAAACTTAGATCTCTGTGTTGAAGCCTTGTAAAAGTGATGTTTATTCACTGTATTAATGCTTGTTGGTCTTTTGCACAGTGCAAAATAACTAAAAATTGCCAATTTTTTGTTCTCCAGACAGACTAATTTCTGGCTTTAAAATTCTTTTTTTAGTCAAAGGGTTTATATTACAATCAGAACATTATAACAGGTTAAATAATAATTTACCATTATGTTTCATACAGAATTTCTATCCAACAGCTTATTTGTAGTCCTTGTCTGAGGCTGTGGTCCATAAAAGTACTTCCTTGTGTGCTCTTAATATTTTTTCCTTTATATTTTATCTCTGTTTGCACGCCAAACAACTCTACCTCTCAATCATTACATAAATCAGAATCAGAATATTTGTCATTCACACACAACATCAAGATGCAGTGCAGAATGAAATTTGCAGTTTAGAACATCCGTCCGGAGAAACACACGCACATGACAAACATGGGGGAACGAATGTCCAGGATCTTTGCAGCTTAGAATACACACACAGTGAAGGGTGAGTTAAAAAAAGAGCTTTGATCCTGTGTTTTAAATAGAAACACACAAACATACGCTCAAAAAAATGCTCTGCATAGAGCAAGTCAGCTAAGGAGGGGAGGGGGTGGGGGGTCAAAACACATGGTATGGGGAAGGGTTCAGCGAAGCCGGTGACATTCAGGGCAGAACTCTGTGTTGGAACCAATCAGAAGACCTCCAGAGTCCAAACAAGTTGTTATCAGTCGAAGCACAAGTCACTAGAGTTCAGTTCTCTGTGTCCACCCAAACGCGGCCTTCAGACCGATCCGAGCACGGGTGGAGCAGGTGGGGATGGGGCGGGGGAGTCGAGGCTTCCTTCCTTCCTTCTAAATAAAAACCAGTGGCAACTGTACATCTTTTTTTCCTGTACTGGACTTAATGACTGAGTTTGAATCATTTTGCACACCCGCTCATATCATGAGTCTGTCATGACTCTTTTTCCTGTCATTTATATTTTTCTGCACAGTATCTTGCCTTATTTTTCATTTTTTATCCAATTTCATCTTGATAGCTTGTTATAGTAATGATTATTCTTACTTTTATTTTGCTCTATGTTTATTTTTTATTTTGCTCTATGTTTATTTTTTATTGTTACTGTTTTTAATTCTATTATTATTGCTACAGTTGATAATGTCACATAGAAATATACTGTTTCTGTGGATTGGTGTGTGTATCTGCTGCTACTACACCTGAATTTCCTTGTGCGGGACAGACACTGTTTCTATTCTATTCTATTCTAATACTTACTTGAACAGTTGCTGCTGTAATAATTGCAATTTCCCCCCGGGATCAATAAAGTATTCTGATTCTGAAAAATAACAAATGATCACATATCTTTATTAAGCAGAATCTAACTGTGATGGGAGCACTTCTGCTCCTGAACAGATTTAAGGTTTGATGTGTGTTAATTCTGTTTTTTTATTTTTATTTTTACAGGGCCAGCAAAGTGAAGCACAAAGGTCCAAAAGACATCATGGCTGTAGAGGAACCGAACGGTGAAGTCCGGTTCTCGACACATCTCCCCTACCCGAACAATCTCAGCAGGTCAGCAGGATGATCACCTGTTCTGATCCTCACCTGTACGACCAGGAGGAAGTTTTTTTTTTTTTAATCAGCCGCTCATTGGTGGTTTTGTTCTGTAGGACTCTGCTGGAGCCRATGGAGACCCTCCTTCAGCTGATGCTGAAGTGGATTCCACAGCAGAGAGGGGGCGCAGTAAACCCTCAAACCAAGAAACCACAGTGTTTTGACCTAATTGATGACATACTAACAATGAAGGTGAGTTTCTGGAGGATCTGTTTATCTTTACAGAAAAATCTCCTAATTTTAAAACAATTGTTGTTTTAGGTCGTCCACATCCTCAACATGACCACCGCTCAGGTCCACTCCTTCAAGCTGACTCCACACGAGAGTCTCCACAGTCTGCAGCTGAGAATCGAGGCCGAAACCAAGATCGAGGTGATGAACCAGGAGCTGCTGCAGGAGACCGGCGTGTCTCTGGACCCCAGGAAGCCGGCAGCTCAGTGTGTCCTGGATGGAGTGGTACGTAGCTGAGGCGGAGATTTAAAGATGTTCCTGTCTGACGTCAGGTTGCTTTTATTAATCTGTAGACRTCTTTCTGGTTCATCCTAATGATTTGTAGCAAAACGTGGTTTTACTCAACATGAAGAGTTCTGGCTTCTTCTGTTGGAACTTTTTATTTAAATTAGATCATTTTTTAACTAGACAAATTATGTCTTCTTCAAAAGTCAGTAAATGAATTGACTGAAAGAGCTGAAACTTAAGCAGAACACTAGTCTACCTATCAACTTTAAGGAACAAGGCATATTTAGAAAGAAAAACAAAAGAGAAATGCTGAGTCAGCGTTCACACAGCTGTAAGGCTTGTTTGAACTTCAGGAATCTCGTTGATTTTTTGATAAGTCATTTCCTTCTTTCTTTCCTCTGCAGAGAGGTTGGGACAGCTACATCGTCTACTTGTTTGACAAAAGCATCACAAACTACTCCGGACCTCTGAACGCCAGACGGCTGCCTGAGAAGGTCAACAGTATTGGTGAGTTTATTTATTGTTGTGTTATCATAAATACAACTTTTAAGTTTATTTCAAATGCTTCCCTGAGATTTTGAGTGTCGGTCCTTCTCTCTTCAGGTGAACTAAGTGTCACGTTTTTAACTTTGCAGTACAAGATTCCAAAGCGCCACTTCCTCTGATTCTGTTAAAGAAAGTCTGGGGTGAAGCTGTGAGCTACATCTGTGGTCTGAAGGATGACTACAGCAGACTCTTCCAGGGCCAGAGAGCCGCCATGTGAGTCACAACTCATTCATAAATATTTTACTGCATGTCATGAGATAAATAAGCCAGGATCCCCAATCACTGGGCCAAAGACTGGTACCAGTCCATGGATCAGTTGAAGCCAGGCTAGACGGAAATGACAAAAATGTCTTTTATAAAAGCTGCATAATTATTATTATTATTTTTTACATCAGCATACCGGATATTAAATTTAGAAAAGCAACCTTATCTGCACTACTTTTCATATACTAGCAAACCTAGTAGCTAACAAACCCTCAAGCTAACTTAGCAATCCAGCAAGCTAACTTAGCAATCCTACAAGCTAACTTAGCAATCCAGCAAGCTAACTTAGCAATCCTACAAGCTAACTTAGCAATCCTACAAGCTAACTTAGCAATCCTACAAGCTAACTTAGCAAACTTAGCAATCCTACAAGCTAACTTAGCAATCCTACAAGCTAACACAGCAATCATTATTAGGGCTAGGTATCGATTCAGATTTCCCAAATTGATTTGATTCACAGGGGCTCGATTTGATTCACGACAATTCATGATTCAGTTTGAATGATTTTTAAATTAGTTAAGGATATCATGCAGTAACACATTTACTTTGGTATAGAAGACATTCTCAAAGGAAATAATTCTGCAAATACAGTAGTAGAAACTAATTCTAACTTGGTGCATTGGTGAAATTATAAACATTAAGGACAAACTTGTAAATTGGAGTTTAATCTTGAAACAAAACTGTCTCAAGTTTCAAAGGATTTAAACTGAAAAGGAATTGCAAGAGAAGGTGTTGTTGGATACATTAGTTTTTTAAGAAACTAAGAATAATTTTTTGATCATTAAGAAGTGATGTAATAAGGTTACAAGAGAAGAGGTGGGCTAATATAAATATACTTCTGCCCACTCTTTCGAGTGTATGAAAACTGTATATTTGTAATGTTTCTGTTCAATAAAACTTAACAAGAAAAAAGAAAAAGAGTACTTCAGCTAAAATATTCCATCACTGTGAATTACATTAGGATGTTTCTTAAATTTATAAATAGTATTTTAACAAAACTAAATGATTTTGTTAGACTGTCATCTTTCACACATTTATACATGCAGAGGASAACAGTTTCAGTCAGATGTTGACAGACTGAAGTTTTGGTTCGAGCCGCTCGAAGCTTCGTTTCCCGCTACCACGTCCGAGCGCAAATCTTTGCAAACAAAAGTCATCATGGCCTSTGTTATCTTTAAGTTCTGCTGAGAATCATCTGGTAATGTTAGTGATTCTTTTGTTTCTTTTGTTATGCACCAGACAACTTGTTGTCGGGAGCTAACGTTAGTGCTGACCGTCMACTGGATGTAAACCTACGGCAACCCAGTAGTGACACACAACATGGAAACACGCAGCTTCATCGCACACAACACCCATGAGGAAAAAATCGATCTCATGACTTTTGAATCAATCTTCCCAAATTTGAATGAGAATCGATTAAATAATTTTTTTTAACCCAGTCCTAATCATTATCATATTGATATTGATGCATTGTTATGAACATTGTTGTTCACCTTCAGTCTGTCTTTTTCCTCCTCCTCTTCCTCCAGGTTGAGTCTCCTGCGCTACAACACCAACCTGACCAGGTATAAAAACAGCATGTTCGGTTTCTCTCAGCAGTTAAAGGCTAAGCTGGACTTCTTTAAGAGCAGCATCCAGTACGATCTGGAAAAGTACAGCGACCAAATGCATTATGGGATATGTGAGTGCCTCCTGCAGCTGTTTGTGCTTCATGCTGTTTTGTACTTTTTAAACACCAAACAAGATTTTTTTTTTCTTTAAAGCCTCTGAGAAGATGCTGAAAGCTTGGCAGGAGAATGAAGAAAGAGCTGCAGCTTTTTCACAGGTAAAGAGGATTTAAACTTCTTTTTTAATGCTCTGTGTTGGTGGTTAGTAAACTGTTTTACTGCTGTTTCCTGTTTGTCATGCAGGTGGCAGAGGTGACCCATCTGGACGATGAGATCATGGCTCTGCACTCTGAGATCGTTGAACTCCAGAGGAGCCCGTACGCCCGGCGCCAAGGAGACAAGATGGAGCAGCTGTAGGTGTAGACAGACATCTAAAGATCTTTGTGCTGCTCTAAAGGCAAACAAACCCAAGTTAAATGTCATTAAATTTTAATCGTTTTTATTTGGTTTTGTTTGGTGCAGAGAAGAAAAAGCGATTGAGCTCTACAAACAGCTGAAGATGAAATGTAAAGGTAAGAAACTACTTTTTATTGTCAGCACAACACATAAAAACGTTATTTGACCGGATGGTTTTCTCTCAGTGCCCGACTCAGATGGGACCAGCGACAGCTCCGAGATGGTGAAGGCCATCGTCCTGACGGTTCAGAACCAGGACAAGGTCCTCAAAGATCTGTACACCCACCTCAGGTAAGACCGGAGCGTTAAGAACTTCAAACCTTTCAGGTTAAAGGTTCAAAGTCACAAATCGTCTCACCCTCACAGTAAGATCCTGATCAGCAAGCAGAAGATTATCGACTTGTTTCCAAAAATCGAGAAAACCCTGGAGAGCATCAAGGATGCAGACAACACGGTGATGCAGATGCAGATCAAGAGACAGAAGGAGTTCTGGCATTTACTCAAGATTGCTTGTGTGAGTATTTCTGTTAAGCTTCCTGCAGAGTCATCTACTGGAGATGTTTACTACTCCTCTCATTTCAACAATTTATTTTTATTTATTTTATTTAGAAATTTAATAATTTCATTTGTAACAATTATATACACAACGAACAAAAAAACATTTAATTTTATACAATTCAATATATTATAAACACAGTGATCTGAGACAGAACAGGGACCCAGCTAACAATCAGAATGACTAACAGCTGTGCAAAGCTGGCCTTTAAAGTCAGAGAGGGGAGACAGTGCAAGGAACCAGCAACCTCTTGTTGCTCATTTAATGGGCGGGGCTTGTTCCCGTTGTCCCATCCAGCCAATCAGATAAAAGAAACTGCTGCAATGAGACACACGTTTTTATGTTAGGATGAAGCCTGCAGCTTATAAGACAAAACAAACTTTTGAAGATTTAGTTTTCCTGATGGAGATGCTCCTTATCAGGCAGCTTCACACCTCCAGGTGGTGCTGTTGATCCAGTTTCACGGACACAGCTGCTACTTTTTTAATCCAAATACATACACAGACCGACCTAAAAGCAAAAAATAAACTGTAGTTTTGCTTCATTTTAACAGTTAACTTGAAGGGGCGGGTTTTAACTGTAACCCCCACGATCAGCTGTAGTTTATAAACATGACCTTTGACCTTCTGAGCAGCTGGAGCTCATTTTTCCCAGCAGTTGTTTCTATCACCTCGGGTTTATCTCTTTACTCAGTGGTCTGATCTTTYTTCTCCTCCAACAGGCCCAGAACTCGTCCCGGAACTCGATCGCGGCGAGTCCGGACTCATCCAACCTGCTGCAGGTCTCTCAGTGGTCTCAGTCGGCGCAGCCCGTCAGCTCCCCTCATCCCCTGACCTCCTTACCTGGGCCCAACGACAGGTAAATGTTTCCACTCACACGTTCACGTCTGTCCTGTTTGTAACAATAAATGAATCCTTTAAATGTGATTTTCTGCTCTTGTTCCAGTGATGCTGCTCCTCGACTCCTGCAGGAGAACCAGAAGTACCTCAGTCAGCTGACCAGCCTGATGCAGGAGGCTGCAGACGAGCAGGCCAACAGCATCGTGGTGAGTTTTTTATTTTCATCRGGAAACGGCAACATTTAAAGAACTAAAAACTGAACCTTACACTTTAAAGATGATTTTATTTAATAAAAATTAAACGTCTTTATTTTTAACATTCATAAACAGACAAATATTCAATAACACAAACAGAAAAGCTGCACATTTTAAGCTGAAAAAACTCAAAGTTTCAGCCTGAAGTTATTTGTGGTCAAAGGGCCTCTGCTGGGGGACCAAAGGATCGCATGTTTTAAACCAGAACTTCCTCTTTCAAAATAAAAGCTTGTTGTGATGTTGGAGAGCTGAGGAGAAGAGCTACGTTTAATCAGAACATTCCTGGTCCAGGTCTCTGTAGGACCACAACATTCCTGGTCCAGGTCTCTGTAGAACCAGGACTCTGACTAAAACATTTGGTTCAGTTTAGATTTGGAGGGAGAATTAAATGCACGTTTATTTGTTTTTGTTTTTGTTTAAAGGACCAGGACTGGAGCTGGACGAAATACGAAACTTTAACGACAAAATTAAAAAAGCGAAACGCATAAGMCCCGCCACCTTTTGCCCTTTCCGACCTGTTCTCCGACTAACACTAAGGACTGTAAGTCGTCATCGCAGCGCAGTGGCTTTGTACAGATTTGTACCCAGGAGGTCCAGAGAGAAACCAGATTCCTGAGCGTCTCGGGAACCAAACAGACTCGTTCTTGTTCTCTCCTGGTGGGTGTCGGCTCCCATCGTCTCGCACGGTGGAAGATTTAAAGAATCTTGTTTTTATACCTGAAAAAGATGAAGCTGTTTGTCCTTTTCGTCATGCTGCACAATACTCATCTTCATCATCATCATCGTTCTTTACTGTAACGTCGAGCGAACTGTAGCACCGGATCCATCACACAGGAAGTGGTTCTGAGGTCAAAGGTCGAGGAGATGGAAAATCAAGCAAACTGCACTTTCATGTAGCCTCTGAAGAGACGAAAACAAGCTGCCAAAACAAACAAAAACAAACTGCTCGTCTTCAGTTTGAGGGGAAATGATCTGTATGTTCCTGAATAATAATGTTTTATTTCATGCCTTGTACATGGCTGGCCATCGTGTTGACACATCTGTAACTGTTTTACGTTCAGCCCAGGGTCTGAGCTGCTTCCATCGGAGAAAAAAAACTAATTATCCTGTTTACGATTCACAGACGTCTCAAAGAAGCAAAATATGCAAAATTTTAAAAAATTAATCAATAAGAAGAGAAGTTTTCCTCAAAGCCTGGTGATTATTTATGAGCAAATATAAAGAAATTAAGTGAAGTTATATTTAATAACAAATTGTTTTTAGTTTCTGGGATTTTGTTTATTTATCAGCAGACAAAAATAAACAAATCATCTTAGGTTCTGAGTGACGACACAAATATCTGCTAGAATAGAGAAACAGAAATAAGATCTTTGACAGAAAATAAACCGTTTGTGAACCAAAATTAAAACTTTCAGTCAAAATTATTTATATTAAAACATATTTTCTCCACATTAGAGCAAATAACCTTAAAAAGACATCACTAGTTTATATTATTTCATAAAAATTTATTTTCAAATCAGCCAAAAACATTCCTGAATAGACAATCTGTACAAAAGATTTAATTATTGATAAAATACGAAATAATAATAAATATTTAAATAGATTGTTGCTCTGATTATTGGCTGCAGGTTTTTCAGCGACTCGGTGTTCAAACCAAATGAAAACAGTTAATCTGTAACAGATTAGCAGTCGGTTCTAATAGATTTAATCCTTGCGGGCTGTGTAACTGTAACGCGGGCCATATCTGGCCCACAGACCTTGACTTTGACACAGGACCGCAAAGCTAAAAGAAAATGATATAACTGTCAGACTTTGAGGAAAAGTAAAAAAAATAAAAATCTGAGTTTGTCCTTAAAAAAATATCAGATTTGGTTCATTTTAACCAAACATCAGATTGAAATAATCCGATGATGTGAATGTAGGAAAATCTGAACTCCAACTCTATTTTAAAAGAATCTGGTCAAAATAATAAAAACAGTTTGTATAGAAAATTTAATTAAATATTTGATGTTTTTTTAATGGATTCATTGTTCCAAACCTGTTTTCTTCCATCCATCCCATAATAGCACCGTCTCATCACTCATGCAGGTYTAAACAGTCTGGTTTTGATATGAATTCAGATTATTTGTGATGAGTTAAGGTTCAGATGTATTTATGAAGTTAAAGTGCAATGACTAAAACAATCTTTTCTTTTGTATTTAAGTCTTTTTGATTATTTTACGTTGAATATTGTTTCCATCTGCTGGTCTGAATCTGTCTTTTTCACTGTATGAATGTTTACCGCCCAATAAATAAATGATTTTGGCACCTTTTTCTTCTCTGGGACTCGCTTTTCTTCTTCCAGGTTTGAAAAAATAAAAACTGATCCAGACCACGTTTCCAGCATGCAGCTCAGGTTTCCTTTGGTCCAGACTAAAGTTTGTCTGCAGCTTTTATTAGTCTGAAGTGTCAAAACTTTGCAGAAATATTAACGAATTAAAGCTTAAAAAGGACGTCCTTGCTCCAGTTTCAGGGKCCTCCTGTCGGGTCGCTGCAGAACCCGCCGGGCGTGTTTCAGTTTGATACAGACTCGAACCTTTTTCACGTCTGCACACGTCGAAATATTTAAAACCTGGTTTGTTTTATCTGAAATGTTGCAATCTTTTTGTGGCTTGTCTTAGGACCTGGAGTTTAGATGTAAACTAACGAACAGCTGGCTGCAGGTTGGAGTCCAGGCTCTGATTGTCAGGAAGCTTTTTGGACCGATCCGGTCCAGCAGAAACCGACTCTGTTTAATGTTTGTTGGTTAAGTTAGACGCCACAGATGGATCAAGTTTAAAACACAAAACTGACTAAAATAAAAACAGAAAAGTGTTGAACCTGCTCAATAAAATAAATATAAATGTTCTGAACTGGAACAAGAACTTCAGGTGAGTTGGTGAAGTCCAGGTTTTATCGGGGGAGGTGGAGGACTTGGTTTGGTTCTCTGGACTTGTGGAGTGCTGGGTTTGACCGGAGGTACAGGTGGAGGGCTCGGTTTGGCTTCTTTAATCTAAAAAATAGAATTTAAACATTTTAGGTTTGTTTGGACCAAAACTTGAAGTTTTCATTTGAAGTTCAGGATTTAGTTACAGACTGAGTCACGCAGGACCCCATTAAAAAAAAA